GGTTACTGTCATTTGATATCATTATAGATAGTAATAATGTAGAGAAAAAAAAGTTATACTATGAAAAACCAAATTTGTGGGGAAAAGCTTTCTTTTGGAAAAGAAATTAAAAACAATTTATAAATAATAACTAAAATTTAATTATTGTTATCTGTTACCATACCTTAAATGAAAACTTTGATTTATTTATACATTATTCCCTTAAATGAAAACACATTGAATTAATATGATCAATAAACAGTGCCATATGGTTGGCTGTGAAACAAAAAGAGAAACAGTAAGTTAATTCTGAAAGCGTTGGTTTTTAAAATGCCTCAATTTTTGCAGTACAATTTATAAATATTTTCTTTGTCTTTTCTGATAAATTAAATTTCTGGCCCGTGGGTGTGCAATTCATTAATAAGTGATGAATAATTAATCCACGTTATGTATAGTTCAGCATAGTGAAGTCAGAGGCTACCAAATCTACATGATGGAGTATTCAGACTTCCTCTGCAGATCATCCTCAGCTTTCCTCCAACGAAAAGCAATATATGCAAAGACTTTTAGATGGAAATGCAAACTTCAGTGTTTCCACCTCTCTTTCTGTTAATCCAGCTGGAAAACATTTGATGCCTGTGTTGTTTTCTTAAAATAAGATGTTAGTCATACTTGGGGGAGATTTCCAGCTGATAGTAGTTGAAAACACACAAGCAGTGCAAAGGATATGAGGGAAGAAGACAACATCTTAATTAGAACTCATATTCTGTGTTAAGAATTGCTATTTCTAGCTGGGCACAGTGATATATGCCTATAATCCTAGTGGCTCAGGAGGCTGAGACAGGAGGATCAAGAGTTCAAAGCCAGCCTCAGCAAAAGCGTGGTGTCTCTAAATAAAATGCAAAATAGGACTGGGGATGTGGCTCAGTGGTTGATGGCTCTGAGTTCAATCCCCAGTACCAAAAAAAAAAAAAAAAACCACCCCAAAATAAGTGCTATTTCTTGTCCCTTGTAGATGATTCTCTAAGTTTAGCCATTTTTAGGTATTAGATAATGAGATAGATAACTAATATTAGCCTTAAGCATTTGGAGAAATAGCAGTTGGATAGATTAATAAAAACATCATAAAAGCATTCTTTTGTAAACTTGGACTACATCTACTTCTGAATAGGTTAAAAATTTGGCTTGAGTATGCAGTTTCTCCTTAGATTACAAAACTATAGATAAGTATGTACACATAATATTTTCCTTATATCCATTTTCATGCCATTGAACAATTTATCAAAGCCTAACTTTAATTTTAATGTATAAAATGTAGGCATTGCAAAATCGACAATGTTAGCAAGTATTATAAACGGAAAATGGCACTTGGATTTTATAAAAAATCATTTTGTTAAACCACTTATATGAAAAACTACCAGAAAAATTTGAAATACTGTACTAGTGTGAAAACTTTCAGTCATAGAATTTGATGTAATTTCTACTCTCTACATGGAAATTCGCTAAATATTAAGAAAATCTCAAAAAAAGTTTACAAAACTAAATTTATAACAACACAAGTATATGAGTTTGTAGTGACAAATAATACCACTACTTTAGTTACTTCTTCTGCTAATAACAGTGATAAATTTTGGACTTTGATTTATTTCCATAAAACCAGCAAATGCATGAATGGGATTAACAATATATACAATAAGGAATTTAGATAGAACACACACACACACACACACACACAGTGCCTATCTATCTATCTATCTAGTGTCTATCTGTCATATAGTCTGTGTATATAGTGTCTATCTATAATCCATATTGTATATATTTTGAATATATATATATTATATATATAAAACATAACTATATATAATATATATAATGTTTTATTCTATATACACATAAAATGTATATATATATATCATAGAAATTTCTAAGCAAATTTATTAGACTAAGCAAACCTCTTTTCACTTTATCCTTCACCTATTTGAAACATATAAATAGAAAAGTGTAATTTTAAATGCTTCATTTACCTTTTAAAATTAATGTATTTACTATTGTTATTACCAACAGTAATATCATATAGATAATTTATTATTGATTAAGTTTCCAGTTGGCAATGGATTTCTATTTATAATAACAAAATGGAAACAGCAGATGCAAACCCATTGATTTTTGGCACCTGGAAGTTGAGCAGCTGAGAGAGATGACATTTTGAAGCAGGGACGGAAAAGCAAGGATATTTGGCAGAAGCTGAAGAGTTTACAACAGCAACATGGCTTTCTGAGTCACTAGTGCATAGTATAAACAAAATATTAGAGTTGGTGGCAGAAAAATAGTTATATACAGTTCAGTGTTAACCTTCTGAATTCAAATTTGTCTGCAAAAATCACATAGACTATTTGACATCTCTTGTAAGTGAATTTTGAAACCAAGAAATATAAATGTAATCTTTTAAAAGTGTTAAGTTTTGAAAATATAGACAGTGATGTCTCAGAGTTGTATGTTCAATAGTAAAATTTCCCTGTTTAGTAACAAACATAAACCCAGTATCAAAAAAAAGAATGCCTTAAAATATGTAAAATTTTGTCATCAGGATCATTCAAGTAATACATCTAATATGCTTATTTATTATTCAGAGCTTATTAACTAACACTTAACATACAACTCTTAAACTTGGCATTGGCATAGAGTAGATTGGAGCAGAGTACTCTAGTAGGACTATTAAGGCAGGTAAATGTGAACCAACTGGCACTACTGAGAATAAAAGAAATGTAACCTAAGAAGCTGTCTTGAGGTGATACAATCATACAGCAGAATTAGGATGGTTAACAAGACTGTTGAGTCATCTAATCAAGTTTAATCTATTATCAGGTCAGTTTATGAAGCAAGAGAAGGATATAATGAATTTCAGAAAAAAAAATAACCAGAAAGATGTATAAAATTTAAAGTGACATTTTTGCTTAAATGAGCAAGATTTAGATAAACAAGAAGTTTACATGATCATCTTTTTTTTTCTCAAAGATACCAGTAAAGGTAGATGTTATAGTATTAATATTCATTACACAATGTGGAGAAAAATGGAGAAAAAATATTTAATCTCTTCTCACATATCTATAGTGTGGGTTAAGGGATACACTGTATATATGAGTAGGTGTGTATTTGTGTGTGTTGTGTGTGTGTATAATCTCAAATGAAGTTATAAGTTGTAACATAAAATTAAAAATAATAATCAAAGAAAATAGAATATTTCTCTATTAGAGGCCAGAGATAAAAAAAAAAATGCTTCAAAAAATAAGTGATTAAGCTCAGTCTCAAAAAGTTTTATCACATGGCAGAGGCACAAAAACATATTTCTGTTCTAAGAAATAGCTTTTGGAAATCTCCAACTACTATATTAAAGACTGGTACAAAGTTTGAGGATATACTTTACTGAAGGAATTTATAGATTCTCTGGGTAAGAGAGCAGCACTCTTTTTCTATAAAGGATCAGATAGTAGATATTTTAAGCTTTGCAAGGCCATGTGGTCTTTGTCTCACTGTTTCCTCCACATTCTTGGGCTCTGACACCCCAGGCTGAGCTGTATCCCTTTGCCATTTCACACCCCATGCAGTTGCCCTCTTTATTCTGGTAGGACCCAACACTTCATTAAGGTCATCACTAGCGTGCATTTTCTCACTTAGTTTCAGCTTTTGTATTTTGTACAAGGACTTTCCCATTCTGTCCCTGTAGATTCTTTCCTCATTTTGTTTGGGTTCAGTCAACCCATATTAGGATGCTTATCCATATGGATGACCTTTTCTCACTTGGGCTGGTCCACCCTCATGTGTCCTGTCTTCTCATACCATTTATCATGGTCATCTTCCTGACCCTGCTCAGATTAAGGCTTCCTGAGTGGACTGTTGCCTTTCATAGACATATTTTCACCATCCTTGAGCTGCCCTGTTGTTTTAGTCAGCTTTTTCTCTGCTGCCACATAAAGATCTGACCAGAACAATTTTATGGGAGGGAAAGTTTATTTGAGGGTCATATTTTCAGAAGTCTCAATACATAGACAGTGAGCTTCATTCCTTGGGGCTTAAGGTGAGGCTGAACATCATGGCAGAAGAGAGTGGCAGAGGGAATCAGCTCACTTGATGATCAGGAAGGAGAGAGAGAGAGAGAGAGAGAGAGAGAGAGAGAGACCACTTGCCAGATACAAATATATACCCCAAAGCCATGTCCCCAGTGTCCTACCTCCTTCCTCTTCCCTTCACACCCTATTTGCCTTCAATTACCACTCAATCCCTTCAGTGATTAATTCACTGATTGGGTTAAGGCTCTCACAACTCAATCATTTCTCTTCTGAAACCCTTCACATTGTCTCACATGTGAACTTTGGGGGGACACCCAACATCCAAACCATAACATCTGTTCTTACCAAGCCTCCATGTGGCACCCTCATAATACACCTTGATCTCTGAGCTCATGGAGATGGAGACTGATTATATCTAGGAAAAGATAACAGAACTTTCAAATTTAAAATGGGAACCATGGTGGAGGGCAGGTTTCTTATGCTGAGAAAAGTTTCAAACTTGGAATGGAGAAACCTAGATTCATCTCTGAGCTGTTAAAGGAAAGCAGTACCCCTGCAGGAAGATGCAAGATAAACCTGGAATATCCTAATCCAGAGGGTAAATACATGTTTAAAACATGATAAGACATGTCTAAGGACATAGAATACCACTTAAAAAGACTACTATGACCAAAGTGGGAATACTTAGAAGAAAAAATAATAATTATAAAAATGTGTTACAACACATTAACTGCAAAAGCAAAACATAAGTCCATATAATAATAAATGAATATCAAATATAAATGAAATTAAAGTATAATGAGAACAGAATACACACACACATACACACACACACAATGAAAGCACCACCATCCCAAATAAATACTCATTATTGATAGAAGAATAATGAGAATAAAGGGAGAAAGTGGCAATCTAGAAGCCAATGAGAAAAGACTCAGAAGAAACCAATCCTACCAATTGCCGCAGTCTGGCTGGGCACACAATCACGAGCCACCACACAGCTTGTAGATTCAAACAGCAACTCTTTATTCCCGAACTCATACCAGCCGTCTGCAATCACGTTCTGGGGAAATCCACGTTCTCTGCCCAAATCCACCCCCACCGGGCTTCTGTCTCCCAAAAAATACTGTCTGAATCCCGTGAGAACTCAAGGGGAACTCAGGCAGCAGCATACGCCCTATTCCCAGCAGGTATAATCTTAAACCTGGAACCACCCTAAACCCGTATAGTCCTAAACCGGGAACGCCCTAAACTCGGATCCGCCTTGGTCCTTGAGCAAGGTCACCTATATGCAATGTCACTGCAAAATGTCCTATTTCCATGAGTCCTTCCACTAAGCAACATGGGGTACGCTGGCAAGGAAATTGTCATACCTACTTGGCTAATGGCTCCCAGCAACCAATACCTTGAATCTCAGACTTCTAACTCCCGAATTGTGAGAAAATAAATTTCTTTTTTTAAAACCACCTACTTGACCTTTGGTACTGTGTTGTGGCATAGTTTGTGTGTGTGTGTGTGTGTGTAGGGTTATGGAACAGCATATAGTATAAATATAATAGTTATACAAAGGTGCATGACATGAATCTAATTGTGAAGAAACATCAGGCAAAACCAAATGAATGACAATCTCAGTTAATTAGCCTATGATTTCAAAATGCAAGCAATGTCATAGAAACCTCAGGCAGTTTCCTGTTTTGTAAACAGTTTGACTTGATCCTGCTAAGGGAACTCTCTCAGCTTGCCTGCAGTCTAAATCTACTGGGGTTTCATTCCTTGCAATATGAATCATTGCAATGTTAGGGGAAGGGAAAAAAAGTGATTTTTATATCCCCAGAAGCCTGAGTTAAGGAAATAAACTCAGAGTCTTTCTCAAATACCTCCCTGTAAGTGTCTTTTACCACACAATAGGATCCAGCCCCCCAGCAAACATCCTTCCCACTCAAACTTAGTGCTTCAATGGCTCTAAGTTTTCATTAAATTGCAAAAAAGCATAAATAAATAAATGAGAGATTTTATACTTAGATTATAAGTTTGGCCTTAATAAATTATGTTTAAAGCTGACTTAAAATGAAGGAATAGTTCAGAAACTACTGTTTTTCTGATAAGCATGTTGCCAAAGAAAGTGGAAAAATCGCCTCAAGACCTGAGACTTAACTCCTAAAGCAATTTGCAGCCTCTTGTCCTATGACTTTCACCCAAGGAAACAGGCTGGGAGCTGTGCTGCTGCAGTTGAAAATGTGCAACCCACACCAGCTTCTGTGGCCATGCATGAAAATGGTAGGGAAGAACCCTCCATCTGGCAGAACCATAGATGATAAAGAACAATGAACAAGTGTTTATGTTTGTAAAAAAAATATTTTAGTATAGAAGGAGAAGTGCATATGTCAAGATAGGGAGAATTTGCATTTTTTACAATTCAGAATTTAATAACTACCATGCAAAAGCCTCTGTGTTCCTCCAAATTGCTGCCCATTCCTATCTTTTCAAAATGGGTATTTTGCAGATTGAGAGTTTTTATTGATGTCATACAGCTATGCCAATAGTCACATATATGTAAGGCAGAAAATACAGACTTTAGTTTATAATTTGCAGAAAAACAGAGATTTGTATATCCAGATCTAGTAGAAAACACTATACTTCTGCATATTGTCCAGAAATCATGGATTTAGAGATGGATATGGAATTTTAAAATTATCTCTTTTTTTGGAGGAGTGAGTTGGGTATATGTTATTGTAAGAAGTATATTTGTGGGCACTTGTGTTTGGAGAGATGGAGTGTGAGTAAGCCTGACAATTATCTCCTAATATTTATTATCTCGTTTTTTTTCCCTTCAATAATAATGGCCCAAGTTCTGAGCATACAGCCTCCTACACAGAAACTCCATTTCCCAGAAGTATGACTGAATTGTGATCAATAGGATCAGATTAGTTGGAAAAGATGAGAGCAAGTCCTCAAAAAGAATGTGCTTGCCTTACTCTGTCTATGGCAGGAAACTATAACAGATGTCTATTAGTGAGCGGTTTCACCTTCAGTCAAGCAGACGACAATAATACCATAAAGAAAGTCAAAGTGAGCAATAAATAAATGCATAAAACCAAGGGCCTTCAGTAGGCTCAGTTGCTTACTTAATTTAAATAACCTGCCTCCTGGGTGGACCAATGGTACAGAATAGAGGACACAGAGACCAATCCACAAAATTACAACTATCTTATATTTGATAAAGGGGCTAAAAGCATGCAATGGAGGAAGGATAGCATCTTCAACAAATGGTGCTGGGAAAACTGGAAATCCATATGCAACAAAATGAAACTGAATCCCTTTCTCTCACCATGCACAAAAGTTAACTCAAAATGGATCAAAGAACTTGATATCAAATCAGAGACTCTGCGTCTAATAGAAGAAAAAGTTGGCTCCGATCTACATATTGTGGGGTCGGGCTCCAAATTCCTTAATAGGACACACATAGCACAAGAGTTAAAAACAAGAATCAACAAATGGGACTTACTCAAACTAAAAAGTTTTTTCTCAGCAAGAGAAACAATAAGAGAGGTAAATAGAGAGCCTACATCATTGGAACAAATTTTTACTCCTCGCACTTCAGATAGAGCCCTAATATCCAGAGTATACAAAGAACTCAAAAAATTAAACAATAAGAAAACAAATAACCCAATCAACAAATGGGCCAAAGACCTGAACAGACACTTCTCAGAGGAGGACATACAATCAATCAACAAGTACATGAAAAAATGCTCACCATCTCTAACAGTCAGAGAAATGCAAATCAAAACCACCCTAAGATACCATCTCACTCCAGTAAGATTGGCAGCCATTATGAAGTCAAACAACAACAAGTGCTGGCGAGGATGTGGGGAAAGGGTACACTTGTTCATTGCTGGTGGGACTGCAAATTGGTGCGGCCAATTTGGAAAGCAGTATGGAGATTCTTTGGAAATCTGGAAATGGAACCACCATTTGACCCAGCTATTCCCCTTCTTGGTCTATTCCCTAAAGACCTAAAAAGAGAATACTACAGGGATACTGATACATTGATGTTCATAGCAGCACAATTCACAATAGCTAGACTGTGGAACCAACCTAGATACCCTTCAATAGATGAAAGGATAAAAAAAAGTGGCATTTATACACAATGGAGTATTACTCTGCACTAAAAAATGACAAAATCATGGCATTTGCAGGGAAATGGGTGGCATTAGAGCAGTTTATGCTAAGTGAAGCTAGCCAATCCCTAAAAAACAAATGCCAAATGTCTTCTTTGATATAAGGAGAACAACTAAGAACAGAGCAGGGAGGAAGAGCATGAGAAGAAGATTAACATTAAACATGGACGAGAGGTGGGAGGGAAAAGGACAGAGAAGGGAAATTGCATGGAAATGGAAGGAGATCCTCATTGTTATACAAAATTACATATAAGAGAAAGTGAGGGGAAAGGGAAAAAACAAGGGGGAGAAATGAATGACAGTAGATGTGGTAGAGAGAGAAGATGGGAGGGGAGGGGAGGGGAGGGGAGGGGGGATAGTAGAGGATAGGAAAGGCAGCAGAACACATCAGACACTAGTATGGCAGTATGTAAAAACGTGGATGTGTAACCGATGTGATTCTGCAATCTGCATACGGGGTAAAAATGGGAGTTCATAACCCACTTGAATCAAATATATGAAATATGATATGTCAAGAACTATGTAATGGGGGGATCCAACATGGCGGCGGGCGAGGAAGCAGCACTTTCAGTATCTCCACATTAATGGGATCAGAAAGACCCATTAATACACCTAAATTCTACCTACTGAGGAACTTCTAGCAAAATTCCGCTGAAAGGAGACCTGCCGGGAATTAGTAAGTTTATTAGAGGTGACAGTTTGTCCCAGACGAGTGAATCTTGACCATGCGGCGCAGAGGTTCAGTCCCGCGGCCTCCGCCTGCCCGGCTCTGCAAGCGGCCCCGTGTGGCCCGATGCTGGGAGAAGGGCCCCGCCCTCCTGGCTCTGCTGGGGGCCTGCTCCCGCTGGGAACGCGCCCCCCCCTGCCCGCCCGGCTCTGCTGGCTGCCCCACCCACGTGGAGAACGCCCCCCGCCCTCCCAGCTCTGCTGAGGGCTCCGCCTGCAATGAGAACAGCCCCCCCGCCCACAGGGCTCTGCTAACGGCCCCGCCCACCTGGCTCAGGAGGCGATGTGAAGGGAATCTAACCAAGCCTTTATGAAATAGCGAACTGGGAACTAAAACCAGAGATTGAGTCAGACCAGAGACAAGCCAGTTCCACCCCTCCCTTCGGACACTCTGGCAAGGAGCCAGGGGCCCGCCATAGCAGTGAGGGGAAGTCACCAAAGTTCGGCCAAAGAGATTCCTTCCCAGCGGAATCTACTTTAGCAAGTGTGTGACTCCCACCCACATCAGATACAAACAACCGGGAAACTTCAAAAATCTCTCCATGGGCGCGACCGTAAGGGCCAAGGGACTCCAGGCCACCAACTCCCCCTAATGCCAGTGACATGGGCGTGACTTTAGGGGCGGAGGGAAGCAGAGAAGACTCCCCACCCCCAACTCCCCCAACCGCCAACTGAGAGGGCGTGATGGTAGGGGCAGAGGGAAAAAGAGGACACTCCAGACCCCCAACTCCTCCTACCACAAGCGGAGTGGTCGTGATTGTAGGGGCTGAGGGAAGCAGAGGGGATCCTCGACCCCCAACTCCCATTACCACCAGAGGCGACACCAAAGGTCTTAGCCGCCAGCTTCCGAGGGTGTGCCCACCAAAGGGGTCCGGAAAAATTAAACTATTGACTCCCAAACCACAGCTCCACAGCACTGGGGCTTAGATGAATGACAGAGAAAGTGCTCAGTCGTTAGGGAAATAGAGCACGCGGTGGGGCTGAAAGTGTAAACAGATCCCTGGGGAACCACCTCCACTGAGCAGGACCTAGCTGGCTGGCAGGAGGAAGGGGAGGAGGGGCCGGAGAAGTGACCAACAGGATTGAGAGACTGTCGACACACTGAGGGCAAAACTCAGCCCGGAGGGCACAGAGAAGAAAATGGATCGCTAAGACCTAATTTTATTTCTTATTTTATTTTATTTTTTCTCTCCCTTTTTCCCTCTTTCTTTC